CCTCTGAAGCTGGAAACCTTGTTTTTGCAAAATAAATTGATGCAATTTGCTATTATAGGCCTAATCAATAAATTCCTCATCAACCGATATAACATTAAACATTCTTGGAATTGACATAACATTACTGTCGTAGTACACACCCTTCAGTGTGAAATGTGACTCTCTTTGCAAGCACATCTAACATCTAAGGAAAGAAGAGTTTAGATTGGTACCAGATAAAATAATTTTGTGATCAACATTAATACATTATGCTAATTTTCATCTTTGTAAGCGCATAATACAGTGCAAATTATTTCTGTGACAGTCTTTTGAAGTGTGTAAAACTCCATTTTATCCCATACATAGTCAAAGTATTGGGGGGATGATACAATGGACCATCCCCCCCTTGTCAAATATTGGGGGATATATCCCCATCTCCCCCCCCCCCGGATCTACGCCTATGGCGGCCTCTCGCTGACAAGGCAAGTGTCACAAGGTTAGACTCATACGCTATCTGTCCAGTTGTAGCCCCTAGAGATTCTCTCATATAACTGGCTTTTACGCTTACATAGCGGAGTCATGTATAAACATATAACGGGCATAAATGAGTCTTTATAAAAAAAAAATCTGGTATAATAACCGACATCCGAGGGCACCGCGAAGGCGAGAGTATATTATTGTATCTTGAGGTTGAACCCTACCGGTATATCAAAAGCGAAAGAGTAACAACCAAGTACGGTGCGCATATTAAGTCAACAGTGTAATGGGATATGGCGAGTAAGGCAATATTTAAAAAATCAAAGCCACCAATCAAATGACAAGGATCTTCAGATTAAGAATAAACCAGAATTTAGATGGCGATCAGCGTTTGTATAGGCTGTGTTTCATCACATGAAACCGTCCTTTATGTTCTACTCTGCTCCCAGAACGGGGGTAAAACTCACTGGTAAAAATAATAATGCAACAAGATAACTTGTACAAGCTGTTGCCAGAGAGAAATTTAATTAAAAGTTGATAATCAGAAGGTGAGGTCAAACTTACAAATACAACAAATGAAACAATATAAAAACTGTAAAATAAACCCTAAATTAAAATAAATAATAAACTAAACAAAATAAATTTTAAAAGATTGAAAGAAAAAAATTAATTAATAATAAAACAATAATAAATTATCTGAAAGACTGTTTAACCTTACAACTTGAGTTAACAAGCTAACATAAATATAAGCTACACTCTTAAGGCGAGACATTTTTATACCTTGTTTAGCAAACCCGCCGACTGCAAATATTGATGATTTCGAATAAAAATAAAATTTTATTTTTGGCCAATTAGCGCACCCGCCGCCACGAAAAGTTAAAATTTCAGAAAAAAATAGGTTTTTAAAAAACGTCCTCCGCTGTCTTGAAATCTCCAAAGATAAGATATGTATATTTCTTCCTAAGTAAATTTGAAGCATTTAACCATCCTATTTTACATTCACCAATAAAATTTATTTTTATTTTCTCCTCCGTCTGGATTTTTTTGGCAAAGCTCATATTTGCTAAATAATAATAATAATAATAATAATAATAATAATAATAATAATAATAATAATAATAATAATAATAATAATAATAATAATAATAATAATTGTCAATTTATATAGCATAATGTAAAATACCTCTATGCGCTTTACAGCATGGTGTGGTAAAAATAATTAAAAAGTTTCACCTAACAATAATAATGAGTAACAATAATGAATAACAACAATAAAGGATAAATAAATATATAAAGTTATATATAAATAAATAATTTAAAAATACAGATAATAAGAAAACAAAATTTTATTTTTATTCCGCCCTCCTCCGATGATCTTAAAAGAAAATAAATACTCGAAACAAGGAATAAAAGAAGTCTCGCCTAAGGAATGTAAAATATATAAAAAATAGATTACATATAAACAATATTTATAGGCCCTAAGGTAAAATGAAATTGAAAATATTAAACAATTTTCCATAAAATACGGTCAAATGCTAACGAATTAGTAATGCACTATAACTAAACTATGAAATATTACCGTACCTCATGCATGTGTTTGATCAATAAAAACGTGCAATACAACTGATGGAACTGAGGTCACCGTGCTTCCCTTTCGATAATCAATACGGTAAGAGCTAAGAATAGCCCAAAATTACACAATGTTACAGATTGCAAAATAAGCATTTATCACAATGTAACGGAAAAATAACCAGAGACTTTCTTCAGAGACAATTCCATTTATGACAATCATGTTAAAAAACATTTTAAAAACAATTTGTGAGGAAAAGACATTATAGCCATTCGGATTCGAACCTACTGTATAACCAGGGAACAGTGAAATCCCTGGTTAACTGTGCTAAGCTAGTATAGGCCCATTCACACACAAGTAAAAATAGTTTTTTTATATTTGATATATGCTGAATTAAAGGACGAAGGCTAAATATTATTCATAATCCGATCAAACTAAAAAACATTAAATAGTTTACATACTAATGTAATATTTTTATATACAAAAATATATAGTAAAAGATAAGATATAAGAGGCTTATACACTTTCTACAGAAAGATGAACAATAGACGTACTGTTACAGTAGGCTAAAGCATCAAACAAGAATTAAGTGGCGACGCTTGCAC